GTCTACCTCAATGAGGGACAGCAAAGCATTTTGTCCCTGCGTGCTCTGGTTGCCCTCACTCGGGACACTACAGTACTCTGCAACATGGAGCCAGAGCTTCTCTTCGACGTGTTGCTGTGAGCCTGGCTGAACTTTCTGTAGGCTGCCATCTGGGCGGTCCATCAGGGGGCTGTCAGTATCCAGGAGGCCCTGCAGGAGAGCTTCCACCTTGAGGAACACTAAGAGCCTCCCTGGTCTGCCCCACTGGGGGCTTGTGCCTCAATCCTCCCTCACGCCCTTCCACTTACCCCTCCCTAACCCCTCTTCCTGATGCAGAGATCATGGATGTTGGGGGCACCCCCCCAAACCTGAATAAGGTCCACGATCTCCACCCTGGACTAGGAAAGCACCTGTCTTCTCCGGGCCCTGGCAGGCTCCTGGGAGCTGGCAGACTGCTCCTGGGGAGCAGTGGAGGGCTGGCTGCCAGTGGCTTGCTGGCTCATGTTTTGGGGCCACTGGATTAGGGGAAGTGATTGCTGGCTGTGGGCTGGCAGGCTTGGAGCTGGCACAGGCACTGTGGCCAGAGTCTACCCCTTTAAGGGCTCTGGGGAAGTGGGGCGGGAGAAGAGTTTTCTTGGTTGAGGCTGGATGGCCACCAGGGCACCCTGGGAAGGCTGGATGTCCCCTATTTTGAAATAAGTGTCTACACAGCACTTATTTTGAAATAACTATTTCGAATTTGGCGTTATTCCTCGTAGAATGAGGTTTACCAAATTTGAAATAAGTGCACCGCTATTTCAAATTTATTTTGAAATAGTGGTTTGGCTGTGTAGACGCTAGGAAAGTTATTTCAAAATAAAGGCTGTTATTTCGAAATAACTTTTCTGTGTAGACTTACCCTGAGAGTTTTGAAAACTCTTGACATTTAACTTATTAGTCTCCTGTTCAACTATCCATGGTCAATACATAAAGATGTATCTGAGTGTTTGATGTTACTGTATGACAAGGACACCAATGCATATTACAAATATCTAAATAGAAAGACTGATAGGGAATTAATTCAATTATTTTCCTTTTCCTTTTCCTCTTGTTCAGTCTCTCTCCTTCCTATTCTTTAAAAAAAATCCTTCCTGAATTAATGAAGAAAACCCAAAAGTCAAACCAGATTACAATCTTCTAGGCCCTTAATATCAGTCCAGGTATAAGGAGGTGGAGATGTCAGACACAGTATTTAGTATGTGATTGACTACACCTGCTGGGTGATTTCAATTTTTCTTAAAACCTCTTCACCAAACACAAAATGTGCCAAAGGAGTTTAGCACGCCCAAAAAAAGGTGTAGAAAATACTTATTCTTGCCTCTGGTCCATGTTTTTTAAGAGAGACAGACTTGTTTAGAAGAATATGGATATCTCTGAATACAGACTTACAGTGAGATAAATCTTTTACTATTAGTTTCCCACTTACAGAAAAAAATAATGTTTTATGTACCATAACTTATGGGATACAGTCCATAAGGTATTATTACAGATTGAACCTCTGTTAATTGGGACTCCCTGGTCCAGCAACATCTGTGGTCTGGTAGGAGCCTGGGCTTCCCGCAGCTGAGCTATCTGGTGTACCACAACTGGGTTGCTAGGTACAACCCAGTGAGGCTGCTTGGCAGGGCCAGGAGCCTGGCTCACCACAGTGGGTGCCCAGCATGTCCAGGGCTGCCCAGCTATTAGTGCCAAAGAGGCAACAGGTAATTATTGCTTTGGGTAAAATATTCATCCCCATGAAGAGCAACAGAGACTTTGTTTTCTTCATCACATGTCATTCTCCTGGTACCACAAAGTAAGGATGTTAGATATAGTCTAATTGAATAGTTGTAACCACATGAAATCTTGTCAGTTTACACAGCTATTCAATAGTCTCTAGAGGCGGTGCTGGCAGTCAATGTATGCCAGGTGCGGCCAGGAGCCAGTGTGCAGGGAGTTGGGCTAAAAGGTGGGGACTGGCAGTGCAGTGGATGTTCAGGGGGAGGGGAGTGGCCAGGAGGCTGGCAGCCAGTCCAAGGCTGAGGGGGCCAGTAACAGGAGGGTAAATATGACACACACTCCCGTCCAGCAAAATCCCTCATCCAGGACTGGTCAGGTCCCAAAGGTGCCGGACCAGGGAGGTCCAATCTGTACTTACAATGATGTTGCAGCTCTGCAAATGCTGACACTCTGACATGACGTAACTCATGAAAATTCCAGTTTCCGTTGTTTATGTCTCATACAATTATTTCATGGTTCAGTGTATATAAACTATAAACAGTAGCCCATGGTGTTGTTAAAGGAAACTGAAAATGTTGGATTGCATCTTTAGCTAGTATAAATCAGCACAGCTCCATTTATACTTCCTGAAAATCTCATTCATTAACTTTAGCGCAGCAGACTCCCACTTATTTTCCTTGGCTTCATAATACATTGAGACCTGTTTTCTAATCATTTTGCAGATACTGTAATTTTGCATTTCTAATCACCATACAGCATGATTACTACACAACTACAGGAAGTTTACATAAAACAAGATCATGGGAACACAGTATTATGCAAGGACCATGATAAAAGGTACACATTTTATTTAAGGAAGAGGCTACCAGTTCTCTGAAGAAAATGTTTGTCTGTAACACAAAGGTCAAATAAAATACAAAGCACGCTTCGAATAAATATATATGGAACGAGTACCACTGTAATGTCCAAACAAGGAAATGAATGTATAATTGACCCTCATCCACATCAAGTCTCAATGCTCATATATCAAACTTTTCAGTCCATAGTGACTTATGAAGTTAATCCTTGTAATATTTTGTTTTCAGAAATCACCATTGCTGTAACATATGTAACTTACTGTAGGGAATTTCCAAACTTAGAATGAGTAGTAACTACACTGTGGAAATATTTATATCCTCCCTTTTACTGCTCATTTCAGTTTCCCCCAGCTCTTTTTAGACAATACTAATAGTAAAAGTTGGCATACTGTTTATATAAATCTGAATATTTTATATATGTAATTTTAAATGTTTAATTCCACTGACATTTAAAAGAACTAATTTGATATTTTCCTCCTAAAGCTAAAAAAAAATTAATTCACAAATCTTTCCTTAAGTAATTTGGATGGCAATAAGACCAGAAAAACTTTGTTACAATAGAGTAAAAAGTATAAGTACTTGAAATGATATCTGTGAAAAAAGTTATGTTTACTGTACACCAAATTAACCATGTAATAAACCATGTAAAAGTGATTAGAAATGCAAAATCAGAGTATCTGCAAAATGACTAGAAAACAGGTCTCAATATATCTTGAAGCCAAGGAAAATAAGTGGGAGTGTGCTGAGTTAAGGCTACCCCTGTAACTTCTTTGGTTATCAGTCCAGCATTCCTTCAGCATGAATGCCTTCCAGTTAATTCAGTGGGAGCTTAGGGTCTACAAAAGTGCAGGATAGAGGTGACAGAGTCCTTAACATGTTCCATTAAGTCAAGACTCTTATTGACTTTAATTAAAGTTGAACTCTGTCCAAAAGTAATGACTCAGTCCACTGAAGTCAATGGAAGTTTTCCCTGAGTAAAGACTGATGGGTTGAGATTGGCAATTTTTTACCAAGTGACTACATCCCCAGTAAATGATAATCTACAAAAGAAAAGAAGAAAGACAGATGCCAAATAATATGTTCAATTTTATCAGGAAAATCACTCCCATTTTTACTAAGCATAAATACAATGCAGCCCTCTAAAATGTTAAAGGAAATACCTGTAATAAAAAATTAGTAAAATAAGTAAAAAATAAGTAACATAAATTAAAAAAGTAAAAGAAATGAAATTTTAACTACTACATCACCTTCACCCTATTTCATTAGTGATTTGACAGATCTCTGATTTGCAAATATTCCTTCCATATCACAAATGTGTTTTAAAAATGAAAGTATATCAAGGAAGTTTTGTGGTAAATTCCTGAACTGATGAAATCAGAATGTAACAGACATACTCTTTTAAGGATCTTGTGTACAAGTTGCAATCAAAGATATAAAACATTAATGTGGACTGAAAACTTTATGTAAATGTAGTAATATGGGGCCTGATTCAAAACCCACTGAAGTTAATCTGACTTTGAGGGGCTTTTGGATCAAAGCTTAGATGCAATTATACTCTGGCTGAAACTGTCTAAAAAAATGAAATAAATTTGCCTTATACCCTAAAGGAAAAGGTTAAAACAAAAACAACATAAAAAAACTTGTGCTAAAGCCAAATATATATTTTCCAACAACAACCTTTATCAATGTTATTCATTTCAAACCAGACATACATGCACATGCTCAGACAAAACTCCCATATAAGTCAGTAAGAACTTTGTCTGAAGGAGTTCAAGAATTTTCATTTGTAGCTGAAAAAAATTCAACACAAAAAAAGATAAAAAGCAATATATTTTACAAATTCATTTTGCAAATGCCTGCCTGTCTTTTAGGGACTGAGGCGGCAATCCCCTCCTTATTCAAGCAAGCACTTCTTGGGAACAGTCCCAACAGAGTCAACAGGGCTACTCAATGAACAATCACTACCATTCTGAGTAAGGGGTCTCAGACTAGGACAAGGGGAAAAGAGAAAATGTATTTTTCTTTATCTGCTATTCCTCTATAAAAGTTTGCAAATGTCAATGAAGCTGATCCAGTAACTTTAATTCCTTGACTGATTCTCTTTACATCAGTTAGCAGAAAGACATACAGGAATAAGCCCTTTCCTGTTTATGTATGAGCTATTGGGGGAGAGGAGAAGGGAATCTGTTTGCTGTTGTTCTTGTATGTTTGCAAGGGAGATGAAATAGGTATTGCTGTTTGGGGCAACAAAATGAAGGTATGTCATTCAGTGGCATGTCAAAACAGAACCCTATGGCACCCGAATAGTTCTGATATTAGTATCTGGCAGCTAGTTGCTCCGGTAGAGCAGAAATATCTCTGTCTGTCTCTCTCTGACTCTCCGACTCTGGCGTATTGCCATCTTACCTGTCTGCGCTTAGGGCGGTGAGAGTGAAGACGGACACGCCCACCGAGGTGAGCTGGATGGCAGGGATGAGTTTGCAGCCCACCTTCCCGAACATCCATTCCTCGAAGAGGTAGCGGGAGGCATCCACCGGCATGCAAGTGACCAGCAGCAAGAGGTCTCCGGCGGCCAAGCTGGAGATGAAGATATTGGGCACGCTTCTCATAGCGCTGTTTGAGATGAAGATCTTCATTAGCGTGATGTTGCCTAGCAAGCCCACGGTGATGATGAGCAGGTAAAGCGAAGGGATCACACAGCGGATGACAAACAAAGCTGTGCCCCGGGTAGGAGGCAGAAGGTCTGTCTCCAGCACACCCGGCACCAATGCGTTGCTGACATTTCCTCCTGTGGGCTGCACAGAGAGGTTGAGAGCGAGCTCCCCAGCCATTCTCCCAGCTCCGGGGAGCTCCGGAGTTCAACTGCAACAAGAGAGAGCAAAGAGATTTGTCTCGGGGTCAGGAAAGAAATTCTGGTTCGTCCTTTCTTCCAAGTTTTCTCCCACCAAAAACACAAAAGGAGGAGTTGTCTGTGGGCAAACACTAAAGGGTTAAAAGAGAGAGACCTTCCGTGGTGTCATTTCTCCAGCCAAAGGCAATTCTCCAGGGTCAGAAAAGACTCGCCAACGTTGGGAAGATGAGGGGAACACAACGAGATCCAGAACTCGGCTTTCTGCTTGCCTAAATAATTAGCTTCAAGATGCTTCTGTTCTGAAGGGTGCATCCCGAAGTCCTTTCTCACAAAGTCCGATGGATGGAGTGACGGGACTGATATAACTTCATGGTCAGGACTTCAATCCCCTGGCAAAAGTAGCGAAAACAGCCTTCCAGGATCTATGAAACTGTTCAGCTCCTTCCACCGTCTCTGATGGCCCCCCAGCCTCTTCCTGGGCTGTGTTTCAGTCCGTCTCTGACAGAGACCAGGTGAGGGGCTTCAGGCAAGCTGGATCCTCCCTTGCCTCAGTCCATCATTTATACATTCGCCCAGCTCTCCCTCTGCTGGGCGGAGCCTCCCGGAATTTGGTTTGAAGCTGTTTAGCTTCCAGAGGAGGGAACGTTTGGCTCTGAGGCAGGGAGAAGAAGCGATAGTGACCACCATCTAAGTCCTGCTCCGAATTGCTGTCATAGCCAATGGGAGTTAAAGTCGGAATGACCACCCAACCGCGTAGGAATGCTGCTAACTAGAGAGTTCTGCCTTTGGGCCCAGGAGCTACCCAGTCCACCTTACTGGTTTCAACGCCCAGGCATTCTGGAGGGGGAGCTGTCCAGCACACGTAGTGCTGAAAAACTCTTTAGGGAGTTTTAAACCCCGGACGCTTTCCAGTTACTCTTGACACCAACTAGCTTTAAAGGCAGACGGGTGCCGGGGGTGGGGGGGGGAGGTCTATATTCAAAACTTCTTATCCACCTATGTTTGTTTTGTGGAGTTCAAATGGCATTTGACCAACGGGTTGGGAATGTTTTGCCTTGCTTGGTTGGTTTGTATTATTTCACCTAAAATTCGCCTGGATTAAGGACACGGGAGCTGCGATTTATCAGAGCCAATGGCAAATCCATATAAGAGTAAGTGATGACTGGATCTGGGCAGTATAATGTCTATCACCAGACTTCCTTGCTCCTCCATTAAACACAATACTTGACTTCTTTGTTGCAACCTTATGGGTCGCTCGAAAATTCTTAGACTACTAGAGTAACGTCAGGGGTGTGCGATTGGCTGTTTTGGCCGCAACCGACTGACGCGTGATTTCCCAATCATACCGTACATTTTCAGCAAGTTCCATTAGTGTGATGCAATGCACCTATACAATATCATACAATGGAGAAACATCTGAGGGACTTCAGTTTTCAATGAGCCGGGGTATAGCAATCCAGTGAAATAGCACTTGTTGCCATGAGTACTGTCATGTACGTTGTCCTGTCTCTATATTTTTTTGAATCCTACAAAAAGGCATTGAACAAATGTTCAGTGTTCATATTATTAAAACAATAATTACGGCAAATGTGGCAGATAACCTTAAAAGAGGACAGAATATAAAGAGAACAAAAATAATAAACATATGAAGAAAATGGGGAAGTGGCAAGAAGAAACTAATGTAGCAAAGTCTGTCACCTGTATGAAATAAAACATATCCTACCACTTGTGCATTATCTAGCAAAGGGACTGGAATTGTAAATGAAACTTGTTTATCTTTAATAAATCTTTTTATACATAAAAATAACAATAGATGCGTTTAGAACACTGTTGCTTGGCAAGATTAACACTATCAGCAGACTAATTCCTGGGTAGTACTCCTGGCTCTACTATATATTGGCTTGTTGGGTTATCTTGGGCATGTCATTTCACCTCTATGTGCCGAAGTTTCCCCATCTGTAAAAAGGGGGTAATGATACTCACCTCCCTTGTAAAATAAGTTGAGATTTACTGGTGAAAAGTGCCGTAAGAGCTGCTTTGTTCTTTTAGATGTTTTTACTTTTTAAAAAATAATAACTTTTCCAATCTCCTGGAAAATATAATTGATTGCAGTCTTGTAGATTACTGGTTCGTGTACCGCAGAGCTACTGTACAATAAATCCTACCGAAGACAACTGTGCCACTATTCAAAAACATCTGGTATCCAGAGTGCATGTTTACCACTAAGTGCTACACAATCTGATAGCTGTCATGTAACACGTGCACTTATTTATCTATTCTATTTATAGTCATACTAAGCAAATCCAATTGCAGTTCCTTTGAGAGAGTCTTGGACACATATTCTTTCCTTGGCTGGACTCTAAACTGCTGGTTTATTGTTGATAGAATAAGCTTAATTGAGTTTATTTTATCTCAGTAAAGATCATTCATTGTTCACGACACTGATATTAAATTGCCTTAAATGTTTTCTAACCACTATTCACTCTTCCTCCTGTTGTAAGGTGTCTACTGGTTGAGAAAGATAGAATGAATTAGTAAAAGTTAAATCTATCTGACCCCATTTAAATGTATAAATAGCTTCCCTGGAGACTATTTTGAGAATACATTTTAGTTGCGATGAACAATAAAGACGTTTCACTACAGATTTAAGTGGGTGATTACATTTGACTAGTGAGGAGTTGGTCTTGGTTAGTAATATATTCATCATATCAGAGAATGGAAAAATTCGAAAGCCTGAGTCGTCTTGAATCATTCAATTCTGAAACTCCAATTCAGCATCAAAAGCGACACATTTGAAAGAGCTTTTACTTGGTATTTTATCCTGCATTCGTGGTTTGTGTGCTAATTTCTGAATGTAGCCAAGCAGTCCCTAGCCTTGTGACTCAACTAGAGCGAGTCTTGCCATCCTTACATTGATATATTAAAGAATTCTTATCTTGGCAAATTGTTCTTTAAATTGAAGGGTGAATTTTTCAAAAGCGTGTGCGTGATTTAGGAGGTCCTAAATCTCACAGGTGCTTTTGGAAATCTCACCCCAATCACACAGGTGCCTTTCAAAATCCCACTCTAAAAGTCCTGCTTTAATTCCTTTCAGTTTTATCTACATCACATTTTCAATACTCAGCATATGAATTAATATGGGCTGACATCTATCATTTACCTCATTGCATTGGAAACAGAATGTTAGCTCTTTCCTCCAGTGCCTTTCAAAGGATAAACACATCGACCACATACATACAGAATGAATCTGATTTCCGTAGGGGGAGGAAGGAAGCAATCAAGGAACTCATATCGTGATGTTCAAACTATCTAGCATTTACAGTTGAGATAAAGGAGTTAATCCGAATCTTCTGATACTGTTGTTTATTTCAAATTACAGCCTAAGGGCCCCCAAGTTTAAATGAATAGGGTTGTTTAAGAGCAATGCGAGCGACAGAGAGGAGGGAGATAGGTTGCAACAAGTTAGTAACTCCAATGAGAAAGAAAGCAAAGGCGGACTGAAAATCACTTTTCATGCTTAGCACTGAAGCTTGGAATTTTAAAATGGTGCAGAGGTTAATATCATTCTGCTGTACCGCTCCCCAAAAGGGGAAAGCAAATCCCAGCCTTTTTTACAAGTCAGCACGGGAATGAAGCTATTACGCTGGCTCCGCACGTGTCTTAAGCGCCATCTACTGAGCCTATTCCAAACAGGGAATAAGCTCAGCTCCCCTCTAGTTGTTTCACTGGATATTTATGGAGCAGGTAAGTGTGCATATCAGAGGTACAGGATGGGCCACTCAAAAGGCAGGAGGGGATATGTGGGCGCACCCCTTTTAGCAATTAAAATGTTGGCAGGAGCATGGGGGCTGTGTAGCTCCCGAGTGCTAACACAGGTCACCTATGGATCTGTCCTAGCTGCTCCCCCCGACCACTATCCCCTTTATAACGTTTGAGTCAAAGCTGGACCTGGCTTCTTCAGAAAACTTCGGTTCTTTGTTTCAGTGCTGGAGGCAGGGCCGGATTAAGGGGGGGAGGGTGACTAGCCCTGCAGCTGCCTGGGGTGCCTGATGGCAGCTGTAAGGGGCGCCATGTGCCCAGGCACGGGGCATCCCTTAGAGCTGCAATTAGGCACCACGTGCCTGATTGCAGCTGTAAAGTGCACAGCTCCGTGCACCGGGGGGCGGAGCCGTGAATCGCACGCTCGCTGCCCAGGGCACAGGAGTGGCTCAAGCCAGCACTGGCTGGAGGGGGAAGACAATGAACCATCTTCAAGAAAATATTAATGAAGAAAAACTGAAAAATGATTACAAAATCTTTGGCTTATATTTTTCTTATAAAACATGATTTTTGAAGACTGATTTAGTGGAATAACTTGATGAAAATCAGTTAATGGAAAGCTTTAGCAAAGCAGTTTAAATCCATGTGCTACCAAATATTTCCCACAAAGTATCCAGGGAAGGCGCATCTGCAGAGAGAACTCTTGTCTTTCTGAAGTTCAAATGTTACTGCTACCTGCCTAGCTTGTCATAGAATCATAGAGTTGGAAGAGCCCTCAGGAGGTCACTGAGTCCAACCCCTGCTAAAAGCAACCAAGCCCAATTAAATCATCCCAGCCAAGGCATTGTGAAGCTGGGACTTAAAAACTTCTAGGGATGGAGATTTCATCACTTCCCTAGGTAACCCATTCCAGTGCTTCACCACTCTCTTAGGCTATGTCTATACTACAGGCTTCTTCCACAAAAGCTTATGAAAATGAAGCACGGAGTAGAATATCACCACGCTTCATTTGCATAATTAATTAGCAACCATTTTTGCGCAAGAGACTTTTGCACAAAAAGGAGCTGTGTAGACAGTTCCTTTTTCTGCAAAAAAACCCTCTTGTGCAAGAGCCGTTCTTCCTGAAAAAATGAGGGAAAACAGCTCTTGCGCAGTGTGTTTCTGAAGATTATAAAATCACATCTCTAAAAAATCATCTCCCTCTCCCCCCTGAAAGCCACCAGGTGTAGGGATACCAGTTTAGTAGCCCTACCTAGAGCCTCATAAATCCTATGGACATCCCTGGGAGAGACCAGAAACAGTCTGTCTTATGAAGTGTCATTGAACTGGGGTGATTTTTCTTTGACTCCCCCACAAAAGGGGACTTAATAAGGATGGCTGAGTGGCCTAAGGTGCTGTGTTTAGTCAATAGCCTCCTCTGAAGATGTGGGTCCAAATCCCACTACTGACAGCAGGCTAAAAGCTTTTTGTTGATTAGGGCTTCCTGCTGGTTGCATGAGTTCTTTTTGGAGAGTTGTTGTTGTTCTCATCAGAGGAGGATGTTCCCCTTTTCTCCTGTCCTCTCTCTAAGGCCTCAGTGGAAAAGCAGGATCACAGTAGCCTGGGCCACATTGAAGGCAGAGCATGACATTAGTGAGTGTAGTGTCATGAAGTGAAGAGAGGCAGCAGATACCTGCACAGAAGCAGGGTGACTGAGTTGTCTAAGGTCTGTGCTCAGGTCACAATATCCCGTCTCTGAAGAGCTCTCCCTTTCTGCCCCATTGGGGAGAGCCCTTTAGCACCCTGTCAAGAGGTGTGCTAACTTTGACTCTGCCCCAAAAGGAGACCTGTCAAGATGGCCAAGCAGTCTAAGGCTGCAGTCTCTGCCAGAGGTGTGGTTTTGACTCAAGGGTGATGTGATGGTCCCCGCCCCCCACCATGCTTTATGGAAATTGGCTTATGAATATAAATATGAACAACTGAAGGATGCTTTGGGCAAAATGCCTAATGTAACCTATCAACTTTAATGCTACAATATGTTGGATCTGTATATCCTATTTTGGTGTATGTATCATTCTTATATGTGAAGTTAGAAATATGAAGTATGAAACTGTTTATAGTTTTAAACATAGTAATGAGTCATTATTGGTGCCCC